CACTAATCAGGACCCAACATTAGGGGTGCCATTTTGGTTCTTTAAAATAAGGACTATAGTATTTGGGGCTTTTTGTTGGGGTCCCCTATTCTGGGCTACTACCACATGGCACTTAGCACCCCTGCAGAAGGTACGTTTCAGAAGTATGAGGAAGCCCAAAAAATCCAGGGTCTAAAGCTAGGTATGCCCCAAAACCTGATAAAACATAGGCTGTACTGGGCTCATATGGGACTCTGGGAGAATTTCTAAGGTTTCAGGCATCCCACTGTCCCTCTGGGGGCTGTTGTTGCAAGATGCGGAGGACAGTGGACAGTGCATTGTATGAGGGACTCTGATGCCGGTGTGGCTACATGAAGGAGGGGGCCTGCACCCTGCAGTGAGGGCTAAGGGTTCAGGGGCCCTACAAACCCAAGACTCTTGGAGACCTTATGTAGGGTTTTCAAGGGTGTGTCCTCTAAAACCTGAAAGAAACCCTTAAACCCCTAAACCCTTAAGCCCCTAAACCGTTAAACCCCTAAACCCGACCCCCCACAATGCAAACACGTCACATTGCTTTGCGCCTTTGCACTTGCAAGTGCAGCAACAGCCACATCTGGGTCTACCCCGCCAACCTGGGCCATTGCTTTTATATTATACTATATTATAATATATTACATTATATTATAGTATATTATATTATATTATAGTATAATATATTATAGCATATATATACTGTATTATACTATACCATACTATACTATATTCTAATATGTTATATTAAATTATACCCCCCCAAGGTTTGTTTGGGATACTATTAAACATTGCCCTTTGTAGTATTGCTTGTCTTTTGAATGCATAAAACAAATAAAAAATAATTCGAACTCTCGCCCAGTTTTGGGGCCCATTTTTGGTTCGCTTCACCTTGATTACATGTGGATTGGCTAGAGGCATTGGGGATTGCGAAAAATCCGGCTACAAGGGTTTGGGGTTTAGGGTTTAAAGGTTTAGGGTTTAGGGTCTAGGGTCTAGGGGCCCTGAAGCCTGTGATCCCCGTAGCATCGCTGCAGAACTCCTTCATCACTCCCGAAGACCAAACCCTAAATGGAAGCTACTATATTATATATGGGGGTTACATTGGGATAATGGAAAAGAAAATGGAAACTACTATAGTATAATACGGTATATATTGGGGTTACAAAACCCTAATCATTTTTCTGCATCCAGCCTGCATGACCTTTGCTGGGACCCGAAAGCCTCAACCCCAAATCCCCGAACCCAAAGATCTGTAGTTTCCATTTTATTTTCCAATCTCCCAATGTAATCCCTATATAAAGTAGTAGCTTCCATCTTATTTTCCATTATCTCAAGATACAACTTCTTAAGTTCTTGCAGTCCTGCAGCCTACTTTAGGACACATTAATATATATAGGGGTTATAAGGGGATATTTTGGGGTTATAGTGGGATAATGGAGAAGGAAATGGAAACAACTGTTTGGGGTTTGGGGTGTTGCCATGGACCCGATACAGAGCCGTTAAGTATGATGCTTTCATTCAGGGGACCTCCGAAGCAGGAGCCTGAATTTTGGGGGATCCGATTCTGTAAGACCCATTGTAAACTGTGAACTAAATCCCTACCAGATTTCGGAAGAAAACCCCCTAAGCGCTACTAACCCCTTAGCCCTATAAACCCTAAGCCCTTAACCCCCCCATATCAACCCAGCAACAGGCTCTGAGACCAATGGTCCTGTAAGCCCTGCAGCTGCTGTTGCACCCAGGTGATCACCTGGGCGTGCATGAGCTTTGCTGCAACTCATAAAGCATATGGGGAATACATGCGGGTTATGGATAGGGGTTGTAGGGGCTGTAAGGATAGAAAGGTTGGGGTCTTAGGGCTTCGGGGGATTGCAAGAGGATCACTTGAGGCCCCTATATTGTGCGTCTTGGAAATATCCGAGCTTGATGGTGACCGAAAACGCGCCAAGAAAGTAAGGGCTGCATGATGTTTAGCTTCATGTAGCTCTGATGACTTGGGTCCATGTTTTTCAACCACCCATGCGGGAATTTCTGCGCAGCAATGGTCCAGTTCTGGGGTGCAGATAGACTGACCCCGTGGTTCAACAGAATGCTTGTCCTTGAAAAGCCAGTCCCAAGGACAACAGTCCTGTTAAATCCAGCCCCGTCACAGAAAAGGGCACGAAAGGGCACCTCAAAGATCGTCAGGAAAGTTTTGGATTGAAGGCACCATTCTTGCAAAACATATGTCTCCGTCTATTGGGAACTAATTACTAAGCATCTAGCCCCTAGATTACCCGACACAAATCATTTTAAGCTTGCAAGATTGACCTGATTCCCATCATGCTTCAATGAAGGAAGCTCAGCAGCTGATGATGTGGGAGTCCCTCTTTTACTTTCCGACATACTAAGCCCCTGACTATAGTAGACCCCACCAAAAGGGACGCCGCGTCATGCGTTTGCAGCGACCAGCTACCCCCTCAGTACTAAGTTTTGGCTACCAAATTATCCTGCGGGACATAAACGGGACATCAAGTTTGGAGAAGTACGCGCACTGGGGCCCAACCCCGGATATGAAGGAGTCCTCCTCTTGTTCTTTGTTACCAGTCGGGCTTTGGTGTTCAGGATTTTGGGTTTAGGGCTTCAGGTTTGTGATTCTGGGCTTAAGGTTCTTCGAGCTGGGCTAGCAAGCGATGTTTTCATGTGATGGATCCGTCCTTGCTGGCCTGGACAAGAAGGATCTTGGCTTGAGCGGGTGGATGTGATGCATTGGTTAGGTGGACCCCCCAACCCAATAATAGTGACTATAAGGGATATTAGGGATTATATTAGGGTCCTCTTATATTCTTATTATACCACTATTACAGGGTGGGGGGTCCTCCTAATGCATTGGTCCTACCATCTAAGCAATGCCTCCCTGTTGACCGTGAGGAAGGAAACACAAGCCACATCCTTCCCATGGTCTGCTTGTAGCCTTCTAACCCTAAACCCTAAACCCTACCCCACAGGACATGCTCAGCACCCTGCGGGCACGGACCACTGTCACGTGGGATCCCAGAGCCATTGGACTGGACGCGGTGGAGGCTGAAGACCTCGAGTAGCAATAGTCCTATTAGCGGAAATATTCTAACAAGAAGAAATACTGGTAATCATCATAACAGCGAATAACAATAATAATCCTAAACCCTAAACCGGGTCTAGGGTTGGATTAATTTACCAGTATCATATATCATTCTTCGTATTATCGTTACAATCCTAGCTGCTGATGTCCCTGGCCAAAGGACATTGTCCATCTATTCATTGTGGTCGGGGTGATAGATATCCCACAACCCCAAAAAGTGCATTCAGGAAGAAGAGGTTTGTGGCTTGGGGTGTGGGATTGTCGTGCATTAAGGAGATGAGAATTTAGAGTTGACATGTTGAGGTATATTAAGGTGGGGGGCTCCTTTGCGTAGTCTGTCCTGCCGATGTGCACGAATGCAGCGCTCTTCGTGTGTTACAGCCGATTTGCACGGACACAGGCTGGATCTTACCTGTGCTCTGGAGCAGTCAGGCTACAGCTTGGTATGCTATCTCCATAAACACCTACAAACCACCCAGAACCCTTACACTAACTGATACCCCTGGGTAATAATAGTAAGAACAATAGTAATCATGACTGTATTAATGTAATGTATTTATAATCGCAAGAAGTCTATAATAGCAACAGTAGAATAATCACTAATAGTGACCGTAATAGTAATAGTAATATGTCCAAATGGGGGCCCTCACTGAGGTTGACGCCATGGCCGTAGGACGACGCCGGAGAGCTTTGCCCAGTGGTTGACGTTTGATGTGTCCTGCCACCTGACAGGATGTCCCGGGACAGGTTAAGGCGGTTAAAGGATCGAAAAGGTAGGGCATCATTATTTAGGGTTTAGGGTTTCAGGTTTACGGTTTAGAGGGTCAGGGTTTAGTGTTGAGCATAACTTTTAACCGGGCACCATTAGCAGGTCTTTGGTAGTCTGCGTTCGTTGCATGACCATCTCTAGTATTGGTTAGGGGTTCAGGATTACCAGTGCTCCAGGGCCAGCACCCGCCTTAAGGCTTTATCATGATTCTTCTATTCTTCGTGGATTCTTGTTTCGAATAAAGGGGATCTCCTACTCCCACGCAGACAGCATTGTCAGCGATGGTTCTGAGTCCGATGGCTTTGCCTGGTTTGTCTTTGAAGTCCTCCATCGATTAATGAGCCTTTCAATAGGTTGCAACTGTTCTTTGTGATGCAGTTCTTGCCATGATCGATGAGGTGATCTTGGCTGGCTACACTGAAACTCAGTATTCTTATCCTCCAAAATGTTGTAAGCTCTATTCGGCCTATGTAGCTTTAGGTCTTTGATCGAGTGCTTACCGTACAGGCCAAACTGTAACGCCAGCATGCCAAAACTGAAGAGGTTAGACCTCTACCCGCATGCGGTGTACACCTGGCCCCACACTTTCTGCAGCGTGCGGAAAGCTGAGAATGCTGCAGTTGAGTGGACCAATGAGACCTATAAACCCGAAGCCTTGGCCGAAATGTGCAGCCAGGTTGCTCAATGGCTGCCACTGCCGCGTCTGTGTTCCAGGGGTTCACCAATCGCAGCAGGCTGTCGAGAGGGAAATCCACAAACTCCTCAGCTGGCGTGCAAACAACATCCTGTGAATCGCTTGAGTGCTGTTGATGATGCCTACGGTGATGATGGCTGGTGGTGATGGCGGCAACGATGGGCCGTTTGTTGTTGATGGTTTGCTGTTATTGTTTGTATTTAGTCTTGATTTCCTTTGCAGTGCTGTTCTACTGTAGATAATTCGCTTCAATCTTCATGTTATTCTTCCTCTCATCTAAACAGACCAGAGCGCCAAAACCTACAGGTCATCCTTCACATGGACAGAACCAATAAAACATGAAAGCCCACATACCCTGTATACCCCCATCACTTTCTTTCTACTTCTTCTTCTTCTTCTACAGGCTATGCGACACCCGGAGGTGTCGCGGAGGCGAACCTCCAGCCCAAATGTCCGGGGTTCCTGGCTGGGATGGTTCGGCGTTCACCAGATCGTTGCACAGAAAGACCCTAATCCCCTAGTGACATTACCCCGTCTGGTGCGCCTTTCCTTTCCCGGGAGAATGGTCGGTCAGGAGCCGAGGAAAGGTTGGCATGTAGAGATCTTACCCTCCCTTACCCTGTCATCTGATCTCCACACGCCCATTGCTTCTCATTGCTCCGGTGGAGAAATCTCAAACTCTATCCAGCTTTCCTATCTGACATCGGTTTGTACAACTCCCTATTCTCATGTGGTAGGGTACTGTGCATGCTCGGTCGTCTTCGACTTTTAATTTCCTGTTCCCACGACTCTGTTACATTGCATCCCGAGCCCAGTAAACTGGAAAACTACACTTACACTTCCCCATTTCAGCTTCGTGGTCTTCCCGAATTGGCATTGGTCACGGTTGGTCTCTATCAGTACCCACGTCACAGAGAGGCTTTTGCTCTCTGTGGACGCAGGGGCAAGCTGAATTCACTCTTTCTTCCCTTCTCCCATTTTCTCCCCCTTCTCACAATATACTCCTTGGTCACGGTGTTGCGTTGTGTCCCTATCA